GGGGAATTCTGGAAGTTGAAGTCCACACATCTTCAAGTTGCCAAGGTTGAGAAACACTGGTTTAAGGACAGCTTTGGTGAAAAGGTACAGCTTAAGCTCTGCCAAAAGCTTCAAAGGCTTAGTACCAACTGTACCTGAAGAGGGAGGGAATCTTACCTGGGTCCTTGTACTGAGAAAAGGTCCTCCTTAGAGTCCCCACATATCAGGTCTCTGGCAGATGTGACAACTGGAAGAGGGCATTCTCATTAAACCTTAGCTAACTGGTAAGTATATGTGGGAGGAAGTCTTCTGCTAGATATCCAGGATCTTAATTTTACACAACTTTGTATTTCTTTATAACTACCTGATGCTCAGTAGCAAACTGATGTGATACATTTATGATAGATGGTCTATTTAATAACCTAGCTATGATACTAGCTGCATTTTCTAGACTAACCTAGAAATTTCAATGGTACAGAGTTGATGTTATCAATACACACACCATTGTGGCCAGATTATTCTTTCACAGGAGTGGTCAAAGGTGATGAACCAACCAGAATCAAATCAGAGAAAGGCACTGCTCAACTGAGAGATCTAGAAATAGAGTTAAAAATCCTAATCTCACCCTGATTGCATATCAGCTCCTTTGGTTTCTGATTTATAAATTTTGAGGTCTGCATTCCTTATTCATTATATACATTTTTAGCGTTCATTGCATGTCTGTTCTCAGCCAATAACACGACACCATCTGCATGCAAAAGGACATGTTTACTCACATGCTTACCATCCACCATGTACCACCATCAGAAGCATTATCTCTACCATCACCACAAGTATTTCTTATATTTTTATCTGTAAATATGTTAAACAACCAAGTCAACTTTTCTAAGGTGGGGGTGAAGGTTAGAGAAGATAGATTGATGACATAAGATGAGTGGAGTTGATGCTAAGTATGCAGTGCTATATCATATATACAGAAAGTGCAAGGTTTGTTGGTTGGTTTGTTTTTTTTAAACTGTAATAAGACAAGTTGTGGGCTTACAATATGTCTTTCCTTTTCTCTAAAATCAAGCTTGACTCCTTGTGACTTCATGAACATGTCCATGTAGTTTTCATGACATGAACATGGAAGAGGTTTGCCACTGTTCTTTTCCAGGATGCTTTCTTGACTTCCTAAGTGTAGTTGTGTGGTCTCCCTTCAAGGACTAAGGAAAATTGACTGTTTAGCTTTTTGGAATCAACAAAGGTGAGCTGGGTGCAGCCACCTGCTGTACAAGTTCAAACTACAGTTTTCACATAATTTTAATTTAAACATCTCTGATATTCAGCAAATTGGGGGTCCTAAGAACTGCAAAGGAAAAAAATGGATTTTTCACTGAACCTTGTATAGCTTGTAGTCATCTCACTCATCTTCTTCTACAGATAACGAAAGAGCTCATGTCAAATATTTTTGTTCTATTTCATTTATTAAAATATCCTATTTAAATTAAAGTTATGGAGGTAGAGGCATTACTTTTCACTCAATCCTCTTGTTTATGTGATATGTTGCATCCAACAGTACAGAGATTTCAGATTAAGTGGGTCTCTGCATATTTCCCATCAATCTAAGCTCCTTTCATGACCAAGAATAGACCACAGACACATTGATCTAGTATCATGTGCTTTTAGAGTTGCAATAAAATTTTAAAACAGCAGAACTTGATTATTTTAATTCCAAAATCCATCCTAGGGTTGTACATACTTCAAAAATGTGTGGAAGAATTGCTTCAATCTTGTGTGAGCACAGCACACTTTTTTGAGAAAAAAAAAAAAGTGGCTGCTTTAAGTGTCATAGGAGTTGGATGATTAAAGTGACTGAATTTTTAAGACTTGTGTAGAAGTCTAAAAAGGACAGGCTGCTTTAACAAAATGCAAGGTCCAAAGCATTTATTTCTAAAAGCCCTACTATGTCCAGTCAGTATTTACACGCTGATAGTTACTTTGACCTAGAATGTTATGCTTTTTAGATTATTACATTATCATGCCTCCAAAATTCATGGCCAGACAAGGGCCCTCTTGATGTCCTGGAACTTGTTAAGCTTTTCAGCCCATGTGACAGTCCAAAAAACCCCCAAACATCTTACACTGTATGCGTCTGTGTGTGTATACTTACTCAACAATGGCTACCTATACATAAAAATACATTATTGAAGGCTTTGTGGTTTCTCCAGTAGCATTGATGCTAAGTTTTCAATATTATCTCTAAACACAGCATGCACATTTGTTTATGACTGTCAGTACAGGAAATAATTAAATTCAATATTTGGTAAGATTCATAAAATGTTTACCCATGTTTAATTAAAGGGAGGAGATAAAGTAGGTAGGAACTTCAAGAGAACAGAAAATAAATGGAGCAAGTGGTAGTTAACAAGCTACACTGCATGAAAATAGCTCTAGTTCAGGGGCATTCTCATATTTTTAACCCTGCAAAGTAAAATTAATATTGACTGTAGTTCTAATAAATGATTTAATTGGCAGAAAAATAAGAATGTTTATCATTTAAACTGTACTTGCAAGGTGTTTTCTTTCTGAGGGAGTGTAAAGAAACATATGAATGACTTGAAAACAGTATCGTACTGATGCATCATAAATATTACAAATGTGAATGTTTATGACCTGTCTTTTTGCTTGGCTCTAAATCATGAAGAAAGTATTAACAAAGCAGTTTTAAGCTTTAAAGTTTGCAGAAAGCTGGCGGAAAGCATGATTAAAAGTCCAAAATAGGTATTTATCAAGATACCACTTAGAATATGAGGGACTGCATTGATCTAGGTCTGGTAGAGAATGTTAAATTCCATCTTAAAAGTAAAATGGACAACCAAAGTGGTCTAAACAGACATTTTTAATGGACTACATACATATGTACAAACATTGAATCCTAGACAGTCGCTAAATTGGAATTTTACTTCAGAGAATCACTGCATACTATATAAGACATCACCCTTCTGTTGAAAGGGAACATTTATATTTTTATTATATTTATTTACTTTGGAATACAAATGTAGACTTGTTGGAATCTTGGAAAGCGTCTGGTCCACCCCTATTCCAATGCAGGATTTGCAGCATGGATGCAGCTAAAACATCCCAGACAGGTAGTTGTCAGGCCTCTGCTTAAATTTCTAGTCAGAAGCATCGTCTAAGGGAATCTCCCTGTTACGTTTCTTCTCATATTAGGCTTAAAGCTGCTTCCCTGCATTTTCCATCAGTTAGTTTTATGGCAACTGAGATATTAGACTGAAGAGCAGAAAATAAGTCTCTTCCATCTTCTGTGCATCACAAACTTTCAGCTATTTGTAGGCAACTATTATGTTGCCCCCTAATTCTTCAGACTAAACTAAACAGCACTCTTTTAACTTACCCTCACAGAAATTGGATTTTGAAACCCAGATTTTCTTTCCCGATACATTTATAACTATCTCCTTGAAACCTGTTATCCAAAACTGATTCAGGCTCAGAGCAGAATTGAGACAGGCCCAGTCTCTAGTATTGGTCATCTGCTATGGTGATAAAGGCTACTCCCATTCCAAAAGGGGAATTTTGATCTCTAATTACTCAGCTTCATCCAAGAAAATCTGTTGGAATGCCACCACCCAGTCCAAGTTCTATTCAGAAAAGGAAGATCTGAAGCTGATTTACAGAATTATTTTTCAGTAACAACAAGAAGGAAGACAGTAAAGGAAGATGCATATAGTATAGCAGGGTCCTACTATTGTAAATGAACTCAACTGCCTGTATGGATTTCATTAAAAAATACTAGAGATCAGGGGTGTCCAGGTGGGGTGGTAGGGCAGTAAAAAAAATCAAGATGGCAGCCACACCATGCAATCAAAGCCCCACCCCTCTTTTATGTACATGATACATGTACTACATTCAAAAAAGATGTGGGCTTTGATCACATTGGTTTTTTTTCTTTATTTTTTTCTTTTTTTATGGAACTTCATGAATTTGTAAGTTATCCCTGTGCAGGGGCCATACTAATCTCTGCATTGTTCCAATTTTAGTATAAGTGCTGCTGAGGTGAGCATGGCTTTACTCACATTGTTGTCAGTGCCATCTTGACTTTTTTCACCTCCTAGGACACCCCTACTGGGGTCACTTGGTTTTTTCTTCAATTTTTCTTATTTGTTTCCTCCATATAAGTTGGACCTCAATTTTCATAATTCTCCTCCATGCTGCTAGGGATTTTGGAAGCTAAAATCCAACACATCTGGAGAATAGATTAGGAAACACTAGTCTAAATTTTAATAGCTTTTAAAAGGATTGCAATATGCTTTTTTTTTTCATAACCTTATTCAAGCTTGACTAATAATATTTGTGTTGGGTCCCTTGAGCTGGAAATCAAAAGTTAAGAGACAGCAAAATAACTTTGAGTTACACTGGATGTCAATGACACAAATCACGTCTAAACAGTCTAAATTAGGTCTAATTGAGCAGCAGATGTCCAATTCCTTGTCTGGAGCTGGTTTACTCTCATTATTCTAATCATTTAAGTCATTGTAAAAGAGCCACTTCAAAGTTCTCTAGAACTAGCCTTGGGTTCTGCAGCAACTGCAACTGGAGACGAATATAAACATTCCCTGAGGAAGAAAAATTAACAATTTCTTATCCTGTCAGGAAGGAGGTCACCTGTTGGGGAGAATGATTCAAGTGGCAGAGTCCCATGCCCTACAAAGCATCAGTGCAAATTATCAAATCCTTTCTTGATTTCCTTCCCTTGGGCAGATGGAGACAAGGCATGCTTGCAGAGAAGTTCAAGTGATGCTTATGTCAAAATGAAGTTACTAGAGAAGGGGGAAAGAACAGCTTGGTGTAAATTTGCGTTTTAAGAACAACAACATTTTGGGGAAAATATCTTTATGAAGAAGAAAAAAATGAAATGCTACGGAAGAACAAAATTGTCAAATGCTAAGATTTCCCAGGTGTGGTTGCAGCAGAATGGATTACTAGGTTATCTATATATTCAAGGTTAAGCAAATGGAAGCATCTGGATTAGAGTCTAACCTGTGGAATCAGTAAACAATTGGATTACAATAGACTGAATGGACTGTGATAAAAAAATCCTTGTTGATAAGGTTCACCTTTGACCATCACAACTCTCAGCCAAGAGTATGTTCCCTTAAAATATAGTTAACCATTCAAGTAGACAGAAAAGGATTATTTGTTTCTTAAATTATTTTCATTTCTTAATGGGAAGGCTAGACTTTGGTCCCAACCTACTGCACAGAGTGACTGTTGTGGGAGTAAAATGATGGGCTATCCCCACAAAATCAGCTTTGAGTACCTGGAGAAATGGCTGATATAAATCTGATAAATGTATAAGAAGGCAATTGCCTTTATGGCCTGTTTTATGTCCTTTCAGTGGATATTTAGTTGAAATAGAATGCCAAATGAAGTATTTTTCTGGTCCAGCAGGACCCTTCATACCTTCTTATATTTCATCATAAAATAATAGGGGTGTGCAAATCCTACATTTCTGGGGATGCAACATTCTAACCCTCCTCTGGAGCACACTAATCTGGTTGTTCCAAAGGCAGTCCAGCAATTTTTCCAGAGGTTAATGCTCCAAACCAGAGTGGCTCATGGTATTCCAAATGTGGTATTCCTGCCAAATTGGGCCAGAGATGGTCTATGTCCAGAACATGATGATCCCCTCTACTGGTTTCAGAGATTTCACTTTGGAAAAACTCAGAAGCATCCCTAGAACAACCAGGTCAGCATAGTCTTGAGGAAGAATGCAATTTTCTGGAGTTTCCCAGAACTTCCTATTCCAAAAACAGTTGGATTTGTACATAATTCCAGAGTAACTCTATTATTATATTTAATTAGTAATACATACTAGTGTAAAGTGTAATTATTGTGCTTTGTAGCCATTGATAGTTTTATCCTTTATGACTTTGTCTAAACCACTTTTAAAGCCATATAACTTTCTGGTACTCTTTATATCTTGTTGATGCAGTTTAACTGTGCACTGTGTGAAATGGTACAGTCTTTTTTCTGTCCTGAATCTCCCACCATCTGGCTTCATTGGATGACCCTGTTGTTAGTATTATGGCAGGAGAAGAATATTCTGCACCATCAAGGACCCACTCTTCATAACCTCTATTACAAGACCTTTCCATTATGATTTCGAGTAACCTTCCTGAAGGACTACCTACTGCAAAATTCTAGATGAGACTTCTAATTCTTTGCTGCCTGCTAGTGATGTCTGGTGTCTCTACCTCCAGCGGTGGTTCTGTCTTTCCTTCCAATCAGTTCAATGAGAGAAAAGGTTGACCCATGTCTCTATACCTCCACACCTCCTTGACTTTTGCCTAAAAAAGTGTTCAGCAGAACCACCAACTAACAGCAGTAGCTCCTTCCTCACCGCTTTTGCGATCTATGGCTATTGCTGCTGATACTAAAATTAAATCTTTGCATTTTGTTAGCTTAGGATCACACAAATAAGAAACAACTAGAACAGCTAGAATCCCCTAATTAATTAGATAATTGCAGAGAATGTAGTGCTTAGGACAACTTGGCTGTTCCAAGAGAGAGCAAAGAATAAAGAATTAAGGAGCTGTTGAAAATTAGACCGGAGAGGTAAGTGGGGGAGCTGCTTTGGATTACACTGAACAGTTTCCACTGTACATTTTTTCTTCATGTTTTTGTTTGGGATGGGGCAGGGTTGGAAAAATATAGGAGATAAAAAACAAGACAAAATATAACAAAGGAAGAAATGTTCCTTAAACAACATATCATGGGGGATATGAATTAGCTGTAGAAAGAAGACATTCCCAACTCATTATCCACTCCACCCCAATATCAGACCCCTTCTCTGGATCTAGTTGTTGCACTGTGCTGAGTTATATGTTTTCTTATTTATATCTCTATAGAAATTGTGCTGCTCTTCTTTCCTTAATGGGTTCTCTGGTAAGGAAAAAAGTAGACAAAGGTGCAGAGAATCATAAAGCAATTGCAAATAGAAGATCACAATACCTGCAGAGTAAAATTATATCAAGGAGGCATGGCCGTTACACATTTTAAGAAAAAAACTTATCTAGCCACAAGTACATTGGTTGGAGGTGGTGGGAATGGAAGCCCCAGAAAATGTTGTCAGTAGAAGGGTTGATGTGTGACAGCTTTATCCTGTATGTAGAAGGGATAACATTTCTTTGTGCATAAATTATGACATCCCCCAGCACATTCTGCAGGTTAAATTTAAATCCACGTCTGTTTTTCACTGGCAAGCATACTTAGAACATGTGGTTATTGTTGTCTCAAAATCATTTATCGTGCTATAAACTTGTATCCAATATCTCACAGCAGAATGGTCCCAGCTTGGCAAAAGCAGCTTTTACAAAAGATACAAATTGCAGAGATGCTCTAAACGTTTAATCTACATTATCTACTTCAGGCAAAGGCAAACTGAATCAAAAGGAGAAGGTAACTTGCTTTATGCCTGAAAAATGTATGGATAGGATGGTGTGTTTAAACCTGCATACTTTCTGAATTTGATCATGGCAGAGGCCAACAGAGAAAACTGAAGCAGATTAAGGTATTAGCCAATATACCTTATAGGTCTCTATCAAATAGTAATTTTGCATGAGTTTCTGCTCACGTTGGTTGGGACACTTTAATAGTTTTATAATTCTCCCAACCATTACACCCTTCGGTTCTTAAAAAAGATGTTCTTGGAAGTTGGAAATATGGACTGATGTGGTGGGATTTGGTGTGAAGATTTATAGGAGGCAAAAAAACCAGTTTCCCCATCTGCTAGTGCAAAGGCACCACTGAACACTATGCAATTGTTATAAAGCATCTGAAGAAGATACTATCTGCAGAAATGAAATTTAACAATAACAGATCCTGTCCAAATGACCCTCATCTAAGAAAGAAAAAAAAAACCTTTAGAAAAGAGGAATAGATACAAAAGGAAGGAGAGAAAAGAAGGAAAAGCAGAGATGTTTGTGAGCTGTGGAACAGTTAGCATAGTAAAATCTCATTTGTTATTGGTGTGAGCAAGACAAATAGCTTTGCTGTGAATAAAAGAACAGACCTTACCCTCCCAGAATTGATCTTTCCTCTGTCAAGGACAGAATGGGTGAGGTTTCTTCTATTAGGGAAAGCTGTTATTAATGCATTATCAAAGCTACCTCTGTATTGACTTTGGCTGTTTGAAGTGTTTCTTCCAAAGGCTTCTCCCTAAGTAGGGCACTATGGGCAAGGCAAACCTCTCTAATGGCCCCACCACCATCATAACTTTAGCCATCAATGAAAGAGATTGAGTTCCAGAAGCTGCTCTTGGTGAGGAAGGACAACAGCAGGACCTTGGAGATGGAGGAGAGCCAGCAGATTCCACCAGTACTGGGGCTACCCAATCAGACTCCTCACAAAGACCCTCTGGATCTCTTTGCTGCCACCTAGTGACCGCCTTAGTGAGTTGCTATTGAAACTGTCTATCATGCTTGCCCACAGCCTGCTTCTTGTCTACCCATCATCACATACAGAAGACCACAGCCAGTTTTTTTTTCTTTAAAGACTGAAGGTCCAGCCATGTTCCTGTGGGCTGCCACCCCTGCTTTGACTGTATTTACTCCAATAGAAGA